TCGGAACCCGGTCAGAAGATATAGGTTTAGCCTCTAGCGCCTCCTTAATCACTGCTACTGCTTTGCTTAGAGGATTATATTACAAGAAAATCATCAACAGTAATCTTTTATCTTTGGAAGGTACAATCTTTCCTTTGCAGGTCAGTCTCACGTCATCGTGCTACTCGTCTTGCCTGGATTCCACCGAATGAACGTGTACCGCCTCCAGATGTCGCTCCTCAAGTTGTACCTAGTGAGTTGCAGTATCTGCTGTATTTGTAATGTATTCATTTTGCTTTATTGTTATTTTCAAATTTACTTTAGTAGCATGAATCTTGCCCCATCAATCATGCAGAGTGAAGTTGATGACGAGATTTTTTTTTGTTTTCCAGATGCCTCCCAAGGAGATCACCCAGCGACTGCTCAAGAACAAGCAGCCGTGGCTGATGAAAGTCCTTGTGCACCCACTACTCCTTACTACCCTGGTTCAGCCTACAGTAAAATGCCAAATTTGATCATGTCTTTTGTGACCGTTGCATCTCCAGTCAAAGCTCGTCAATCAAGTGGTGGGCTTCTACTTCGTTGAGCGTTTTCTCCAAGTTATTACAGTTGTCCTCACAAGTTTTATTTCCAGAGCCCTCACACTATTTTGTCCCATCAACCGATCATGAACCTGAATCGGAAGGTATCATTCTCAATCACCTGATTATAATCATTGAGGCAGTAGAACAACGTTTGTTTTAGCCCCGTCAGTCCCACCACCCCCACCTGATCCTCTCGTATCACAAGACCCACCAGCAATGTCAGGTACCGCATTCAACCACTCTTCTGACTCGTTACTATCAGACCTTTGATGAGACGACTCATAATTATCAATACTACCCCGAATGACTTTTGATGTTGCAGATAGCTTCCCCAGCAGTCCTGCACCACCACCGATTTCCAAAGATGTAATCGAAAAACTTGCAACAGACGCAGGTTTGTCAGATCCTCCACTGTTTGATTCATAGAATATTTTTTTGCAGCGAGGAAAATCGATCCTAACTAGTTGCCTCTGCATGAGGGTTTTTGGGTATTTGTCTTATTTGTTTGCTTTATTTTACTCTTCTTTTTCACGTTTCAGAATGATCAAGCTGTTTTATTATGTATATTATATAATAGTATGATAAGATCATCCTGGAAGTTTTCACTTTTCCATGTCTGATTAATTCAAGCGGAATTGCTTTTCAAGACTAACATTTTATAAAATGTGCCGCAGGCGCCTTCGTTCAAATCTGTGTAATCAACTAGGTACGAGGTCCTTGGATGCAGCTGTATAAAGTTATAACCTAGAATATGTACTCGCAATTCACTCCTTTTGTGGCTTCTGAACAGATTGAGAGTTATTAGTTTTGTGAAAAGTACAGAAAGGTTGCCTGAAAAGTGGAGGCTTTCAGGATGGGTGAAAAAGGAACTTTCTTTGATTTTGTTACTCCTACTAGGACTTCATAGCTTCATGCTAAAGTATGATGCGCTATAGAGGTCAGGCACTAACACAATCATTTTCGAGAGCTTATCTAAACAGTTCTATAGGTTCGCTACCCTACCGTTCTCAAGGATTCTGTCTTGGCACATTGTGCGAATTCTATGAGGTTGTGTTTTGTATCAACACATTATGAGAGCGATAAAAAGACTTATTTTAGCAGCTTTTTTTTTTCAGAATCTTGATCTCATCTATTCGTATTATTAACAGTTAGAATCACTAGCACTTCTTGGCCATAGAAGAATCAGATTGATCGGGATCGATCCGAGAATACATTATTGGTTCATTCGTTTGCATGACACCAAACAAGACAGATTTATTTTATGTGCTATGCAGACAGGTTACATGAACAAAGTGGAAAGGATTTTGATAGATCATGTTGATGAAAAGTAAGCGTGAATATGGAGAGCTCTTTTATCATGACCTTCTTTACTGAATTTCTATCGAGAGATTAGTAATATCAAGTTGAGGGCGCCTGCGACCGTTTGTAATAATTAGATCTTAGCTGGAACGCCAGTTATCGCGCCTAGAACTGGGCAGAGCAATCTGAACGAGCTTCTCACAGCCAGCTGCCGCTAAGTTCGATGAACGCTCCTACAGATGGCCAGCCGCCTGTGGTTAACACGGGCTTACCTTATCCCAGCTCTAAAAGCGATCCCTTCCTCTGGCAGTACATCGCATGATGTCTCGTTTTACAGGGCTCCAATTTCACAGGGATAAACAATAAAACTTGCTATCCACACTTTGATGTGTACCTTTTCCCTTGATGTGTAAATGGCGGTGTTATCAATTGCAAAAGAGCATACGAAGATGCTGGATATGTCCCGGTAGGACAGTAATAAAAGCGATGATAAGGTGCATTCACTTGAATGGAAAAAAGGAGATATTTGCAGGATACATTGCGCTGACACATTTTTGCACTCATGAAACAAATCACAGTGATGGTAGTTATGTGCTTCATTTTTTAGTTCGAATCTCCTGAGATAGTTATGAAAACAGGCCTTGAATGTAGGTACAGTGCGCGTCAATTGTATATGCCACCCCCTGATTTTTTCAGTTTTCTGACTTATTTGGAAATTTCGTAAATCGGCATAGCAACCATCGTTTTCGGCGTGTCGGAAAACTAAGAATGGTGTTGTTTGATTTTGGTTAACGCGTGGATTTGAATTGCTCTGTTCTTTGAAGAAAATGGGCCGCGTCAATTGCTTATGCCATCCTAAAGTTTCTTCAGAATTTCTCATGTCTCTAACGCTATTCAGCTACGGTGTGCATGCAGTACAAATGAGGAAATCCTCCACTTATGCAATGCACACAAATGGTGGAGCATTTATAACTAATTAGTTCGGAATATTAGCCCTAATACTGGACGGTAGCAGCATGAAAACGCTTTATCAGAGAAAGTGCTGTGTGCTCACTCTTGCGATCGCTCCTGCTGCTTATTGTAGAACTCATCGAGGAGTGTATCCAGGCAAAACTGGGGAAATTGAAGTGCTCAAGGAACTCTTAAATTCTCATTTTCCCGCTTCGAATCCGTGGTCAACTTTATTTGTGGTCTTGGCTCCCTGCGAAGCTCGAAGCGTTCACGCTCACAAAACCTCGTAGTACCCATCGTCGAACTTTGTCGGATTCTCTCTGGAAAATTTTTCGTACCGAGCGAGCGAAAATGATGACATGGGCCAGTTGTAACTTGAACGGGACACCGAAGTGGTGGCATGGGCCATCATTGCATCGCCTTGATAAGAAAACTTCGATCGAGTTCAGTGATGGGTACTACGCGGATTGAGAGGCAAACTCATATTCTCTCTGAACAGAGACTTTGTGAGCGTGAACGCTTCGAGCTTCGCAGGGAGCCAACCACAAATAAAGTTGACCACGGATTCGAAGCGGGAAAATGAGAATTTAAGAGTTCCTTGAGCACTTCAATTTTCCCAGTTTTGCCTGGATACACTCCTCGATGAGTTCTACAATAAGCAGCAGGAGCGATCGCAAGAGTGAGCACACAGCACTTTCTCTGATAAAGCGTTTTCATGCTGCTACCGTCCAGTATTAGGGCTAATATTCCGAACTAATTAGTTATAAATGCTCCACCATTTGTGTGCATTGCATAAGTGGAGGATTTCCTCATTTGTACTGCATGCACACCGTAGCTGAATAGCGTTAGACATGAGAAATTCTGAAGAAACTTTAGGATGGCATAAGCAATTGACGCGGCCCATTTTCTTCAAAGAACAGAGCAAATCAAATCCACGCGTTAACCAAAATCAAACAACCATTCTTCCTAGTTTTCCGACACGCCGAAAACGATGGTTGCTATGCCGATTTACGAAATTTCCAAATAAGTTCAGAAAACTGAAAAAATCAGGGGGGGCATATTACAATTGAACGCGCACTGTATTACCATAGGCTCTCACTGCGTCGAAGTTTATCCTAGGTGTTCGAGGAAGTTGTGACTTCAGTAGGAACAGTCGAGTATAAGCTTTGATCTCGTTTCGTTAAGAGCAGATTCTCATGATGAATCAACATGTTGAGAAGGAGGAAATAAGTCTATTGCAAGAGGGAGAGTGCTGGGCCCTTTTAAGGGCGATACCGTGGCGCAGATTTTGAGGCGAGTTTGGCCGTTGCAAGGCCATACCCACCCTTTAGGAACAAAATCAAGGGCCTCGCTCGTCAGTATTAAAAACCCCTAATTTGCAAGCTCGGAACTCGATTTATCATGGCGCCTAAAACTGAAAGTAGAGATTTAAGTTGGATGACAGTGAAGAAAAAACTAAAAGAAACCGTCGACATGGTCGGAGATAGACCCCCACTCTCGAACAATAGCGACGGCGTGCATAGCAAGGAAGCTTGTCCGAACGAGTTTCCGGAATTGCCAGCCACTGCTGACACCGTGAAAACAGTTAAAACGTAATCAATCCGGCTAAATTCACACCCCAAGCCAACCGCACGACCTCCCACGGTGGTACTTCCGTGGGGACCTTATTACCGAGCTGTTTGAATTACGAGTGTTGTGTCATCTTTGTAGATGCGTAATCACGCGCAGAGATGATATATGGTATTGGTTTGGTCGCCTAATCTCGACCTTTGCCTTTGAGTCTCCCTCAATTTTTTCACTGCTGCACCTCTTAGCAGCTACACTTTCACTCCCATGGGAGAGGGACCATTATATCGAATAGCCTGCCTATAACTTGGCTTGGCACATTTTCAAGTTGTTTGTGAGCTTATATGAACACAAAGAAGCCAGATTTGCTATTTGGTATGTAACAATTGGCAGCACAAACGTGCAGGAAGCTTATGGATGAGTTTTGCTGGTTTAGAATCAAGCGGTGGCGCGAATTGCGACGCTGATAGTGGCGATTGAAATGTAGGATAACTTGTCAACACAGTGAATTTGAACCGAAGTTAGATTTTCAGTACGACCAGCAATAGTAAATGATATGCAGTTTTGGAGCAAATTGGTAGTAGTTCAGAAAAGAGCTCAGAACTTGGGATTTGTGGTAAATCAGAACACTTATCGACTCTATGCTAGCGCACTTTTGCAGTCGAAGCAGATCGGTGCGTATCTGCTGGGGATCACTTAGGGCAGGTGTGCTGCCAGGAGTGTTAGAGGTTGTAGAGTCTTGGCTCATACTGCTTGATTGCCTTTAATCGCAGAAGGTCTAGAAAATCTTGGGGTTAGACTTCATTAAATTCATTCTGTTCTGATTTCTTTCAACTGCGCTCTCTTCTAGATACGATCCATTTTCGAAAACCTGAGGAAGTATAATATTTGACAATCAATGTTTTTATAACATCAGTGAAACCCAAATTTGTACTAGCGCGTGACATTTTCACGGGTTTGCTATGGAATTCTGTACATTTTAGAAGTGCATTTTTTCAATCTGCTTGAATTGTTAACTTTTTACTTTCAGGTGAGCATGAAAAAATTGACGATGGTGGTGATTCCAGTGACAGATCAAAGGCATACCAAAATGTTACCGGTATGCGTAAAGCTCGTTACCGTTTATTTGTAGAGCATATAGCAATTTTATTGGGTTAGGCTTCTATTTCTCGAAGTTATTATTTCAGTGGTGCGCGTGCATTCAGATCCAAACCCTGACATGCATTTCATATTTCGTTACTGCCTGCGAGTCAGGAAAACGATCCTGGACCAGGAGAAAGGACACCTCCGCAAAGGGCTAAGGGTGCAGGAGCTCCAGGGTGGATCACCTGTGCAGAAAAGTGGATGGGATGTGGGCAGGTAGTGTGGAATGTAGGACATCCACCGGTCCTTATCAAAAGTACGCTCGAAATGAGTCGTTCACTTATTATCTTATCCGTAGTGTTCGATAGCCCAAAGAACTGCTCTCTAGTACTACGGATAAGATAGCAATGGAGTGGCCCCCCCGAACTGGAGTTTCACCGTATAACGTCCAGGAAGACGAAATTGAA